GCATGGTCTGAGTCAGACTCATGAATGTCCTCAGGATCTCAGGAGACACTCTCCTTTTTGAGAGTGAATCATAGGTGATTCTCCAGGATACAGGAGAACAAATACCATCCCTCCAGAGAATTTACTGATGATGAATTTTTCTTTCTGACCCTCCCACATGTATTTTGTTGGGAGAGGATGCTCTGGTCTTGAATACTCAGTGGATATTTACTGCTGTAGGAAATCCCTCTTCTTCTGAGTCCCTGCTATTTACTGAACCAGTGTGCTTCATCTCCAGTGGCCGAGTCGCTATTAATTTGACAAAGAGACAATCTGCTGTTTGAATCTGTTTGGCATGTGTAATAGTCAAGAGTTGCAGGAGTCATCGCCCAACCTGTTGCTGGGATTTTTAAAAGATTTTACAAGACTGAATAGTGTTGATTTGTTCAATGAGCAGCCTTCTGAGATGAGAATGGGCTTCCTGTGTACTGGAATTGTTTACCCATCTCTTGAACCATGGCAGGATGTGGCTGCAGTTTCCCATGCAAGCCCTTTCGCAGAGCAAACTTAACTTGCTGAGGTCAGAGTCACAGCCCAAAATAACACACACACACAATCATCCCTAGCTTGATGGAGTTTCTCTTCGTTTACCATATCACTAAAGTATCCATCATTATAAATGACTATATTCAAGTGGGGACAAATCAAATGAGTTACTCAGGGCCACATCATGCCCTTAAAATACAGATTTAAAGGAGACCTCCTTCTGCACTCATATCTCCTCCTCTCTATATATTGAAAAGGTTTGTTTGCTGCTTCTGCAGCAAAATCCAGCCCCCCCCCCCCCCCCCCTAGCGACTCAGTGCAGATGCCTTGTGTCTAAGGGTACATCTAGACTACAGGGTTTTGTCGATGGAAGTTTTGTCGACAGATACTGTCGACAAAACTTCTGTCGACATAGAGCATCTAGACACATTCAGTTCTGTCGACAAAGCAAGCTGCTTTGTCGACAAAACCCTGTAGTCAAGACGCAACCCTACAGGCAATAACACCTTCTGTCGACAGAACTCAGGCCTCGTAAAATGAGGTTATGCCTCGTAAAATGAGGTTTTATGCCTCGTAAAATGAGGTTTACCAGCGTCGACAAAACTGCTGAGTTCTGTCGACGTTATGTCGACAGAACTCAGCGGTAGTGTAGACGCAGGTATAGTTTTGTCGACAAAAGTCCACTTTTGTCGACAAAACTCAGTAGTCTAGACACACCCTAACGTATAACACCTGTTCACATTTTAAAGTTTTGGGAAAGAGATTGAAGATAAAAGGGCACAAGAGTACATTTTTGGGACGAATGTCTATGGTGGTGGGGTTCTTTGATCCCATTCCACTGACGGAAGAATTCAGAGGATCAGCACTGAGAGGAAACACCACAAATTTCCTACCCTCTGTGTTGACGTTTCCTCATAGGATTACCAATCTAGCCCTCAGTTTTTACTCTGACTCCCAAAAATTCTGAGTTAAAGCTGAGTAAGGGCCTTGAGGGGAGGCCCATAGATGGTTGGAGACTGACAGGATTAGGCATATAAAGAAAAGCTACTAGATTAACTCATTCCATGGTATTGCCAACTGTCAGAGCTGCAGATGTGCTTCACTGCATTAGGTGTAGCTGTGGGCATGCTGCCATCCAGCTCTGCTACTGACTTTATCCCACTATTGCTGAAGGCCAAATAATCATCATCATTTCAAGTTGATAGCACAGTAAATTTCCCCAGGGAATGTGATTCAAATTAAATCAGTCATGCTAACAATGATTTTATAATTATATAAAGAGAGTGCTCTACTCTACTTATTATAAAAAACACTTTTGCATCATTTCAAATGGTTATTGCCCTCTTTTTACATTATTTCCTGCCCACAAACCCCAATACTTTGTATTTTCGTTTATTTGAGGAATTCATTAATTGATAATTACCACATGTAAATAGAGACATATCAAAATAAGTACACATGTAAATGTCAGTACAATGGTGGGTACTAACCATCTAGCTGCTGTTCTGTTGGAAAAGGCAACTTGCCATGGGATTTATTTAAAAAACAAATTGCATATTGAGGAGGGTCTGATTATGCTGAAAATCACCTTCCTATGAAAGCAGGTCCATGTGGTTCTTATTTCACCAAGTGGAGAATAAGGTATTACTGGGTTTGAGTAAGGGAGGCATAATCTGGCCTTATGAAAATGTAAAGAATTATTAGTACTTCTAATTATCAAAATTACGAAGGCCCTGATTGAGCAAAGTGCATAAACTGAAGTATGTGAGTAATCACATTGCAACACTCAGATGCTAAGTTACATATGTGCTTAAGAACGGTGCTGATATAGGACCTGACCTGGGATATAATAAAGGCCCATCTCTCTCATGGGCTAGTATTGGTCAATACATCATACAAAATCATAAGACAGCTTCTTTTAAATGTTTATTCTATTGCAACAATTCAATTTGCAAAAATGAAGATAAAATATCAATAGACTGAGTGCTACAGGAAGAGCTATTTTAGCATCGCCCCTTTCTCTAGGCTCCTGCAAACTGCTGGACATTTACAAATGCTCTGAGAAAAATAGGGAAATACCATCTTAGAGGCATTCACTCGTACAAAAGAGTCTGGACACCTTCTTACTATCCTATAGAAACACTCCTCACGCTACAACCAAAGTGTCCCCGGCTTTTCTAATGATGGGACGTCAGCTACTCACGTGCTTTGTTTGCTGAAACCTTCAGAACCACGACAAATTGTGCAACGTCAGCGGGAAGGTCAAGTCATCAGGCGTGCATCCAGAGCAAAAGACCGAACCTTTAGTCCTGGACAGACAGTTTTGGCTCGGAACTATGTTCCTGGAGCTAAATGGGTCCCTGCCACTATTATTGCTCAAACAGGACCTGTTTCCTATACTGTCCGGACTGCGAAAGATCTCATCTGGCGGCGGCATGTAGATCAGTTATTGACAGGTTATTCCTGCCCCCAAGGCACATCTCCAGTTGAGTTGCCCGTCCTTCCCACTGCTGGTGAGCTACCGTGTCAAGAATCACCTGCTCCTGACTCTCCTCCTCCATCACCACCAGCGGCAAACAATAACCCCCTCCCTGGGCAGGCTGATCCAACAGCCTCACCTGTTTACACTTCAAGTTTCCAGCCCAGTGTCAGACCTGCACCCATAACATCTTTGGGTGCGAGAACGCTGGATGTCCGCCGTAATCCACCTAGAGAAAGGAGGCCTCCTCAACGGCTGGACCTTTAGTTGAGATTAACTCACAGATGGGGCAAAATAATCCCCAGGGTTAGCTGGGAACTTGAGGCGTTCTACCCTCATTTCATAGTTAGTTTTTGTTTTCTTAAAGGGACGTTTTTATTAAGGGGGGAGGAATATGTTGTATATTGGGTTGTAGATATAGATCTTGTTGTTATGGTAACTGAGTAGGTCACTGGGGTCAGCCCAGCTAGTCTGGGCTTGTTCTGGTGAGTTCTGTGCTATGCAATAAAATGGACACTTGCACCTACTCCAGCTCTCTGCCTTTCCACTGATTTCTTCCTATACTCTGAAACTCCCCATGACATAACACCTGGCCCCAGCCTGCACTGCTCCCCACAGCTGCATTACTCAGGGCAGGGTCTTTGGGGAAGGGGTGGGACTTTCCCCTGCACGGTGGCTGGAAGAGGAGTGAAGTGGCTATGAGCCAGGAGGCCTGACCCCTGCTCCTGGTGCCAGGAACCTCACTAATCCCCTGGGTCTCATCACTCAGGGGAGGAGGCTTGAGGGAAGAGTAGGGACTGTAGCTCACTTCGCACTCCCCCCTTCCCCCCCACACACAGCCATGTCACTTTGCTTCCTGCTGCCACCAGGATTTGGCATGTGCTCCCAGCCGTGAGGGGAGGTTCAAGACCAGTTTTCCTGGGCTGCTTCCTATTCAGGTCCTATTTAGTTTAAGGTGTGGCCACACTACTCCAGTTTCCATGCAGTTGGTGCTTATCTGCAAGTTCCCCTTTGCCAGGGAAGACTTATTCGTCTCCAGTGGCAGCTTAGCTGGCAAATTGTCCATCTGTGCCTTCAGGCAGGCTAACAGAGAGCTCTTGCCAGTCGAATCCTGATTGAGCCAGGTTTCTTTCTTAACTCTTCCCTCAGGCCTGGCATTCGATGCAGCTATAATGGGGTGGGCTAGCTGAACCCCCAATTTTTCTTTAAAACCTGCTGTGCCAGGCAGTGGTCTTTCTGCTCCTTTATGAACGCCTGTATTTTCAAATGTGTCCACTGATTTTAGATACCTAATTTGAGGCAAATAAGACTTTTATTTTCATATACTCCCCAGCAATGTTAGCTCCTGTACATTCAGCTGGAGTTGTGAGTGCTGGGTACATCTGAATGACAGTTCCTAATTATCTCAAGTTCAGTTTCCAGACTTGGTGGTCAGAGTACCAGCCTACTGGTCCCTCATCTTTAAAATTCCTACTTCTTGAGTGTTATGATGTTTGTTTAATATTAAAAGTCTTGAGATCTTGAGGAAGAAGACATTTTAGAAGTCTATACTGTATTTTTATTATTGTACTGGTCAACTTTTTTGGATTGATCTGAGGATGGCCATAGGATTTGATACTCTGAGCTTTAGAGTTGATGATGTGTGCTAGAAAAAAACAATCCAAGTGGAATTGAGAATAGTTTTAAAAAGAGAAAAATTCTTTATTTCCCAGTTTTTGCCTTGTTTCTAGCCAAGAGTTTCATATTGTATTAGTGACTCTTAAAAAAATAGGAAGGAGAGATGGGGATTAGGAGTAAAAAGCAGCCCAGAGTGGTAGAGGTGTACCAGTCATCCTCCTAGAGCAGTTGACAAGAGAAGAGATAGGTTCTTGCATGCTGATTTCCATAGGAAGAATGTTTTCCAGGAGCTCAAATGTGTATCTGTTGAGATCTAAAAACTAGTGGCACTTCAGCAAGCATTCATTTTTATATAACCTTGTTCCAATTTTCTCTCTAGAACAAGAATTTTGGGAGCTCTGTAATAAATGTAATATGATGAGACCAAAGCGATCCCATCACTGTAGTCGCTGTGGACACTGCGTTAGGAGAATGGATCACCATTGTCCATGGTAAGGCCAAGATCCATTGATTCAGCAAGTTCTTGCTGCATACAAATTTTTCTTGTTTTTACTGTTTGTTTACATTGCAGGGGTTTTTTTATTGTTCCAGGATACTTTTCTTTCAGTATAATTCTTATTGCAGGATTCTCCTTCTAACAGTAATACTTCATCATAGTGGCTACGTCTAGACTACATCCCTTTTTCGTAAAAGGGATGTAAATTAGATGTCTCGCAATTGCTAATGAAGCGAGGATTTAAATCTCCCCTGCTTCAATAGCATAAAATGGCTGCTGCTTTTTTTCGGCATGGAGTTTTGCCGGAGAAAAGCTCCAGTCTAGATGCTGATCTTGCGGAAAATAAAGCCTTTTCTGAAAGATCCCTTATCCCTCTTGAAATAAGAGATAAGGTATCTTTCGGAAAGGCTTTATTTTCCGCAAGATCAGCTTCTAGACTGGCGCTTTTCTCCGGCAAAGCTCCATGCCGAAAAAAGCGGCAGGGGCAGCCGTTTTTATGCTAATGAAGCGGGGGAGATTTAAATCCTCGCTTCATTAGCAATTGCGATACGTCTAATTTAATCCCTTTTACGAAAAAGGGATATAGTCTAGACGTAGCCAAAAAGTTTAAAGTAATGGGCTTAAAAAATAACCAAAACAGTTTGCCTTTTTGGTGGCAGTAGTTAATTTTTCTAGCTAACTATTGGCTTGCTCCAAATTTCATTAGGGTGAGTATATGGATTAGGCTATGCCTTCACTAGAAATGTTGCAGCACTTCAGTATCCCTTTTACGAAAAAGGGATATAGTCTAGACGTAGCCAAAAAGTTTAAAGTAATGGGCTTAAAAAATAACCAAAACAGTTTGCCTTTTTGGTGGCAGTAGTTAATTTTTCTAGCTAACTATTGGCTTGCTCCAAATTTCATTAGGGTGAGTATATGGATTAGGCTATGCCTTCACTAGAAATGTTGCAGCACTTCAGTGTGGACACCCCTTATCCATATATTACTATGAGTTTCCTGTCACTCTACTTAATTCACCTTCCCAAAAGGCAGTATTCTTTTGTCAATCTGATGCTGTCTATCCTGGGTGTTAGGTGTGTTTGACTATATTGCTTAAATGTGTGGCTTTTTCACACTCCTTTGCAACCTAGATGTGCCAGCCCAACTTTTTGGTGTAAATCTTTCCTTAGAAGCTGAGCACTAGAAAGTTTCTCTCTCTAAGTGTATCAGTATAGTTAAAGCAGCAACACCTCCTCCCTTACTTATTCTACTGAGGATGCAATTAGACCGGTAGAAAAGTACTTTAATTTTTCCTGGTCTGGGAAGTAAAGTAAGCCATATGGTACCTTATATATCTATAGTTGGCCATATCCCAGTGTAATTAAAAAAACAAATCACATCCTAAGTAATGTAGTTCTATCAGTAAAACTTTTGTAACATAGGCTAGACCTAGATTTCCAAAAGTGTTAATTAGGAAAGTTGAACTGTCAGGAATTTTTTACATTGTTTTGATAAGAAAGTTGGAGAGAGGGTGATCTTGTTTTGTTGGGTGCCTCACCTTCTCAGTTTTCCAATTTCTCCTGCATATTTGAGATTTGGGGGGAGGGTTTCTGTCAGCAGACTGCTTCTTGACCACGAGGCACTTAAACCAGTCTCAGCATTTATCATTGTGTATAATATTTGCATTACCAATTTTCCTCTCTCTAAATTGAATATATGTAAATTTATATAGAACAAAAGTCAATTTTGTATCACTTTAGATTGTAATCTAGTTACTAAGCTGTAGAAAAGTATGAATTGCTGTGACATTTTGCAGGCTGTTTTTATAATTTTGAAATATTTAAAAAATTGCATCATTACCTTTGGTGTTGAAGGCAAAAAGTGATTTTTTTTCATTTTTAGTATCTTCAGTAGAAGCATATACCATTCTACATTATTAGTATATGGAGCATCTTCAAATATGGATATAATCAACTAATATAGTTCTGTACTTTTGAAAAACAACCAAAACCGTGTGTGTTTTTTTGTTTTTTTAATATTTTTGTAATGCTTTTAAATCCTGATGAAAATCAGGGCCTCCTTGTGCAAGTAGAAAGGGAAACATGTTTCCTGGTCTTAAAAGCTTACCTTTAAATGTTTATTTTATCAAATAGAAATTCCTGTCTTACACCCTCTATGCCAAATGAAAATGCAAGCAAATTTCTAACTACAGGGACATTGCAATTGCTTTAATGGAGAAGCCACATCTTTTTGTATAATAGATGCTGTGGGTATTGAGTAGTAGTTGCACATGGCCTGTACATTACCCTACCTAGCAGTGCATTTATAAATAAGTGAAGTTGTTTTGTCTTTGGAATTCATCATGCCTAACTATAACATTTTAAAAGATACGTATATTTGCTTTATTTTTGCTGCAGGATTAACAATTGTGTTGGTGAAGACAATCATTGGTTGTTTCTGCAGCTATGCTTCTACACTCAACTTCTTAGTTCCTATACGTTGATACTTGATTTTTGCCACTACTACTATTTTCTCCCTCTGAAAAAAGTTAACTGGGTAAGAATCTTATCCTTACATAAAATACGGTAAATGGATAATATTGCAATTGTCATGTAATTTATTCTGATATCCAAATCCAAAAATTCTACCGATAAATGCTAGAGTAGGCAAAATCAAGGCTGAGATCGACAAATTGACAAATACTCTCCTGGTAGGTAAAGGAGTAAGCATTGTACAGAGGAGCAGATTTTCTGCTTCATATAAACAAGATTTTAGTTGTAACGTATGTTCCCTCTAATTTGTTACATTCATGTGCATAATAAATTTCTATGTTGACTCTAATTTGTTACATTCATGTGCATAATAAATTTTGTTACATGTGCTCAGGCATGTTCAGATTTGCACCATCAGTAGAAACACATAAACAAATGCTGCTGGCGATAGATGCTCTGCTGATCAGCTCAGTGTCATTTGAATCTCTCATGTATGGCCGCCTAAGCTCACAGTTCACAGGGAACATTGGTTCTTCTTCAAGTAGTGCTCCACTCTAGGTGAAGGATCGCCCTGAGCCGCAGATCGGAGCTTTGTACAGCAGTTTCCCCTGTTGAGCCACGCATGCCCTGGAGGCGTCTCGAGCCCTTCCCACCTCCTGAGGAGCGCGGCTCAACCCCCTCCCTTTCAGGTCCTCTTTAACCGCCCTCCTCAGCGGATGGAGCAAACAGGAGCTTCCTGTCAGACTATCTGACTACTTTACCTTTATTTATTTAGCATAGTTATTTTCTCCTGTTCTAATCCATGTTAGTCTCTCCTTGTTTCTTTCAAAAAAAAAAAAACAAAAAAAACTAGAAATAGGAAAAATAGACTTAATTAAATCCCCCCTCGGGGGGGCTTCAATTCACCTCAAACCGGGACTCCGGTGAACCAGCGTTCTCCTGGCTGTCAAAGCAAGAGACACATAAAGACATTAAAAAAGGAAACCGGAAAAAAAAACCCACACACAAAGACATACTAAAATAACAGTATAAAAGATAAATACAATAAGCTGAAGGAGGAGAGAGTTCGTCGTGTGTGGCTCCTCAGGCTTTAAAAAATGCGGTCAGTGCCGGGACCCGATGCTGGCTTCAGATGGTCACTCAAACTGCATACGCTGTCTGGGGGAGACTCACTCTCCCCACAACTGTACCCATTGTAATTCCCTGACGGCAAGAGCCAGAAAAGATTGAGAGCTCCGCCTCGGAATGATTCTATTTGAAAAGCTTTACAACCTACAGCGTGACAAGAGCCTCCCCTGACTTCCAGGAATGAAGTGAGAGCGAGAGCCTCACCATCCTGCTCCCTTCCAGCCTCTTCCTCTCCCAAACGTAGAGGAGAGGCACACCAGGCTGGGAAGACCCCTGCCACTATGGCTTCAGGGCGATCCTCCCACTCCGTGCCGGCATCGGGGCGTGCAACAGCTGAGTGGCCCCGGGAGCGCTCTAAGCAGCCGGCACGGCAGGAAAAGCCGGCACCACTTCAAACGGCGGTGCCGCTTCAAACCGCGTCACCGCTTCCAGTCCTGGCGCCGCTTCAAGCCTCTGCAGCGCCAAAAGCTACAGCACGGCTTAAAGCTGCGGCGCCGATTAAAGTCACGGCACCGCAGCAAAAGGATGGGCAGCCTCCAAAGCCGCTGGCACCAGCTGATGCTCCGCTGGTCCTGCCACAGCCAGACAAGCAGCCAAATGAGACTGCTGGGGATCAGCCCCAGCGAGAGACTGATCCACACAGCAGGCATCAATATCCCTGCCTGCTCTCTACTTCTTACTCTCCTGGGAGGTCTCCATCAAGGCAATCCCCTCCCAGGTCGATATCACCGTTATCTCTTCAGGACGCTCCCCTTCCTGATGATGACCTCCACACTGTCTATTCCTCACGACATCCATCACCTGGGAAGTCTCACTCCCACCATTATAGGGCTCCACCACAACATAGCCCATGGCACCCATACTGGCCTTACCCACCTCCACCTTATCCACTGCAATGGGGACCGTGGGAACACTGGGAGCCATATGGACACCGCTCCCCACTTCGCTCCACCGCATCCCGGGGAAGCTTACCTCGGCCACAGCGCCTACCTCCAGCAAGTCTTTCGGAGGACGAGGCGGAACGAATCTCAGACAATGACTTAGATTCTCAGTCAGTAAACGTCACACACTCTGATGCCCTTGATGCACAACCAGATGATGCCGTAGTACCATCAGACACTGGAACAACTGACAATCTAAAACAGTTCCAAGAACTATTCAAGAGAGTAGCGACAAGCCGGAATGTCTCCCTGCAAGAGGTGCAGAAGAAACAATACCAATTGCTAAAGAATCTACATCCCAAGTGTAGTGGGGTAGAGTGGCCACCCACTGAGCCAGAGGCGGAGAACCCCCTCGGGGAGCCATTTTGGGCCCAGCCTAGCCCCGCCCCCTCCCCTGACCGGAAGTCAAAGGGCGGGGCTAGGAGTATAAGAAGCCCGCCGGGGAGCTCAGTCATAGGCCAGCCTCTGAAGGCGAAGGAGGCCTGTCCAGAGCTCCTGCCGGGGGAGGCTAAGACCGCCCTTAGCGGCCTCCCCGGAGGCCAGCCAAGGCTTCCCTGCCAGGGCTACGGAGGCCTGGCCAAGCCAGCCAGCCGAACCTCCTGTGGACCCCGAGGACTGGCCGGAGCCGCTGGACCAGCTGGAACCCCGATGGGTACTGGAACGCCGGGGCCAAGCAAGCCCGCGGGACGCTGCAGAGTTCCAACCCCTTGACCCCCTGGATTGGGCCGATCGGACACTGCTGGGACGACAGCGCTTCACCTCCCTGACAGACCTGCTGGAGGTACAGGTACCAGCGAAGGGGGAGACAAGAAGTGGCCCGGGGGTAGCACGGGCTGAGAGCAGCCCTAGTCCAGCAAGTTGCGGGCTGGAGCCCCTGCTGAGCCAGTAGCAGCTGCACTGCTGCAATCAGGGCCCTGGGCCGGGGTGCAGTGGAGTGGGTGGGCCTGCGGCTGGCCAGGGCTTCCCTGCCCGGGCTACTGAGACGTGGCCAGGCCCGCCAGCAGAACCACCCGCGGACCCAGAGGACGGGACCGAGCCGCTGGACCAGCTGGAACCCCGATGGGTACTGGAACGCCGGGGCCAGGCGAGCCTGGGGGACGCTGCAGAGTTTCAACTCCTTGACGCCCTGGATTGGGCCGACCGGACACTGCTGGGACAACAGCGCTTCGACTCCCTGACAGACCTGCTGGAGGTACAAGTACCAGCAAAGGGGGAGAAGAAGTTAGGGCCAGCTCAGCTTACTGTGTTTTGCTGCCCCGCCCTGCTTGAGGGCCCAGGCTTGCACCCAGTGCTCCGCTGTCCTACCCTGCTTGAGGGCCTGGATTTCCGTATCATGGTTTTGGTACCCGGCCAGGATCCAGACCGGACCTTTCAAAGGGCCAGGACTAGGACTGTTGTCCTGCCCATAACTGAGTTAAGAGACTTGAATATACGGAGAATTTCTTCCCCAGTGGCCCGGGCCTGAAGCAAGGCCGGGCACCTGAACTATTGTCTCTCTCCCCGACCTGAAATAAGGCCGGAAATAGACTCATAGACTCAGACTATTTTAAGGCACGGTAGGGCCACAGGGCGGACTAGCCACCCATTGTATCAGGGGCAGAGGAACCGCCTTCCAAAGGCCTGCCGACCTACAACCAACCGTCCCCCAGAAGGGGGGAAAAGCTCAGGCTAGTGTGGACATTGCCAAAGGGCAGTGTCCTGAAAAGACCGTGCCACCTGCCGGCAGATCTAATTCCCTGAACAGACGGCAGGGGGCGCTGTGGTGGAGCGGGAAGCCCGCTACACCACCCTACATGGCAAGATTGCCCTGCCCATAGACGAGGCAATAATGGAGACCTCAGAAGACCTGTGGAAGACACCTGCATCCATTCAACCAACTAATAAGAAAATTGACAGAAAGTACTTTGTCCCCTCAAAAGACAACGACTTTCTCTTCACTCACCCACAACCTAACTCACTAGTCGTGGACTCAGCACAACAACGAGCGAAGCTTCTACAGTGTAGTACAGGCAATGCAGACAAGGACCACAAAAAGTTGGACTCCTTTTCCACTCTACAACTCAGAATATCAAAATTACTCTGCTCTCTTAGCAAATCACGACTTTGACAACTACTCAAAACTGGGAGAACTAATGTCACACCTCCCCCACTCCAAAAGACCCATCTTGAAATCAGTAGTTCATGAGGGCCATATGATCGCCCGCACTGCTCTCCATACGGCAATGGATGTAGCTGACACTACAGCCCAAGTTACAGCTACAGCGGTGGTGATGCATAGAGCTTCTTGGCTCCAGTCGTCTGGAGTTCCCCGCGAACTCCAGCCCAAAGTGGAAGACTTGCCATTTGACAAGCAAAAGTTATTTGCAGCCACTACGGATGAAATGCTCCACAACAGCAAAAATTCTAAGTCCACACATCGCACGTTAGGCGTATACACACCGCCCTATAAACGCAGGTGATACACCCCATATAATTCATATAATCGATACCAATATGGGCAATACAATCGACCACAGAGGCCTTATGAAGACACCAGACCAAGATAGTGAGGTCCCAGAAGGCGACCCAACCAAGCCTGCCCCCCAGCTACTCAACCGTCTAAGCAGCAAATTTGAACATTTGGTCGAGGGCCTGCAAGGCGATCGTTTACATCCCACCACGATATCCTCGAAGCAAAAGGGTTACTATCCCACCAAACGTGCTTGCATTCCTACGATGGTGGACTGCGCCAAACAATCTTCTGGCGGGGGTCCCATTCCAACAAACCGAATCCACTATCCAAATCACCACGGATGCTTCCCTCCTCGGCTGGGGTGCACATATGGATAGCCGTGAAGTTCAGGGCACGTGGTCCCCAAACGAGACACTCCTGCACATCAATCTTCTCAAATTATAAGCAGTAAGGAACACTTGCGCACACTTTGCTTCTGACATCGCCAGTCACACAGTTCGCATCCTAATGGACAATATTTGCATGATGTCCTACATAAACAGA